TTGGTTATGTGGATTGGAATCCGTTTTGAATGTGGAGGGAAGTCATAAAAGATGAAGTTTCGAGGCAACAAGACTCCTTTACTTCTCGGAAGCGCAATTATTTTGGTTTCACTGTACAATGTACGCACGAAAAGTCTGCCATGAGTTGGACAAACTGTTAGCCGCGTTCCAGGGCAGACAATGAGGTTCTGCTTTAGGAAGGAAGTGAGCCTGGGGCCGGCTCCCATGTACTTTCCTGTCACTTGAACGGAGTTTTTAGCTGTGGACACGCAGGATGTCAACAGTACACATCCAGAGCGCAGAGGGCATGTAGGAATGTGTCTTGTTGTTAGTGGAGACAGCTGCGGATAGAAGCAGCACTGCAGATAGGTACAGAAGACCCATTTTCCATATTCACCTGCATCTCAGGGCAGGTGCATACATGGTACAAACTCAAACAACATTTCCATTTCACATTCTGGGCGTTGGCGCTATAGCAAGCGCTTCGCTTACCGCGGGAGGGACAGAAGGAATATACTGCCGTAAAGCATTCAACGTTCTCCAACAGCGGCATCCTGTAACGAAAAATTTGATGATGTGCGCCATAGGCAAAGTGTCCTTTTTTTGTAACCCATTGACGGGTGGAGCTAGGGAACGACGAATTCTACTTGATCGCCGTATGCGCTTAGCGGACCATGCAATATAGATTTAAGGTGGTATATTTTAGTGACTTGAGGTGAGAATGAGGCTCCTTTCTGTCCCTCTATAATCATGTTGCTTTCGGCATTGAATCACATGTGCTTATTGATTCATCTTTGCAGTTCGTACATTTCGGTGGAGTTTTGAAGACTGTCGACTACATCCGATCAACAAATGGGAAGTACCCAACCAGATTTCCGCCCTAGCAGTTGGAGAGTCAGTGTGAGCCGACATGGGCAACAACTAGGGTTATGGATCAGATCGATATTACGCTTTGCAAGCAAGAACACCCTCCGTTAATGAAGCGTTTTATCGTGGCCAATCTGTGAATCCTAAGGGGTTCTATGTTGTAGTGATGATTCTAGGAACTTTCCATATCTCATGGAAGTAGATTCAGGACATCTTTACGTGGTGCTGAAGCGTGGCTGTCACAAATGGGTGCAAGATTCTACGTCTGTGTACCCTTTTCGGGCCATCAACCCACTGTCATCTATCCACAAAACAAAGAAGTGGGCACGGACGTTATGTTAATTCCGTTTCGATCGCATTACATCTACATAATTGGCACGGTCATTTCGAATATTGTTATAATTGGTAAGCGCTTGAAGTTTTGGTACTCATTAAAAAGCAATTTTTACGTGGCTTAACCTTTTTTTGGCAAAGATGCAATGCTTTATTTCTCTGTTCATTCTGATTTCCGGATTCCTTTTCTATTTTTCAAAAATGCTTTCAGCGAATCAGAAAGAGCGAACGTTGGCGAATCCTGGATGGGGAGTGGCTGCTGCGGCCGCGGTTCGACACAAAAACTTCAATTGCCTTGTCACCCTCGATATCACGGGCAATGTACTTGTGTACGGATATAATCAACGCAGTGTAACGGTATGTCGATGATGCGAGTTCATCTGTACGGTCGCAGCGCGAAGCGCGCCTTACAAGGGAGGTCTTTCAGGACATGGAGCGCTTTTTCGAAATGGTTTTCTGCATGTTGTAGGGGCTCATGCGAGGAACACAGAACCATGATCCATTTTCCTGAACGCCTCCAGGAATGTCAAAACAGTGGTGAAGAAATGGTCCAGAGTTCGATCCCCGGTGATGACTAATTTTTGCAATAGTTTGGCGCCCCAGATTGCCGCCAAATGGCGCCATCGTCGAGAATAGATGTCATTGTCGTGTTTTGCGGCAATTTGGAGGCGCCAACATAAATTGCAAAAATTTGTCATCACGGAGGATCGAACTTTGGACCATTTCTTCCCCGCTGTTTTGACATTCCTGGGGGCGTTCAGGAAAAATGGACCATGGTTCTGTGTTCCTCACATGAGCCCTACAACATTCAGAAAACCATTTAAAAAAACGCTCATTGTCCTGAAAGACCTCCCTTGTTAGGGGTAGCTTCCGGGCTCGTGGCGATTTCTGCAGCGAATCCTATCAAATTCTCATATTTCTGGTCCATGCTGCTACCCATTTCAGCAAAAAGTGGATTTGAGATCATTGAAGTTGTTATGGATACCTTGAGAGGTTTTTTTTTGTGAAAATCTGAGCAGTTTAAAAAGGAGCCAAAGAAGTGCAGTGGCGAATGGAGCGCTTTCGATGTGCTCGATCTGGGATCAAATCCGCGATCCTACGCCGTTTACGCCAACCAAGCCTTCCATTCCTTCTGGGTCGGTCAGTTATTAGCCTCGAACGATGAAAGCGCCGACTTATCCTTGTATTAGCGCCGAATCGCATTTTGATGTCACTGCGTTTCTCAATCGAGGTAGAATGCGTGGCGCATCCCATAAAGGATTGATAACCCTGAATGCTCAATTCGTGCTCTTATCGGGGCGTAATTCACTAAGAGGAACAGGCAAAATATTCAAGACGTGCGGCTTTACATACGGCTTTGGCTCAACGTGCGAAACGCTTTCTGAATCAGCTCCGCTGGTTCTGCTTTCCGCCATCCAACCAAAACCGCAGCAGCTGGCAATAGCGCGCTGCGACCGCGCAGCCCACTTTGAAGATTTTTGCGCTCTTTCTTTGCTTCTCATGGTCAGTGGCAAATTTAAGAAAATTTCTTCGGAAGTAATGCTCATTACCGGAACGTGTTTCAGAAACCAGAAATCGCTCCACTTTTGTCGTTCAAGACGTTTTCGCACGCTACTTATCTGGCAGTAACCCTCTCGGGA